TTTTCACCTTTTATGATTTTAGGTGTGTTGATCAAGAGCTGATTCTAAGCGCCTTTATTGCCTCATCTGTCCGAATATTAGTGCCCATAGACGCTACATTACAACCTACCGGAAAAACCCTTCGTTAAGTCTTCTTATAATTTACCAATTTTATAAATTCGTATGATTTACTTATTTAAAAATTCCATGTTTGAAGATTTGCTTTTACTGAGTACAAATAAATCATGGTATTTTATGCATCACGCCACTTCTATTATTTACAATAATCCTAGAGGTGATACCTTCATTATGAATTTTGGACAGAGCATACGCATTTAAGGGTATAGCAGAAGGTTCGCTGATCGTGTCGAGATGTATATCTTTTAATGTCTATGCTAAGTCAAAACGAATGAATTGTGTAAATCAGTGATTCGCAAACTGTGCGCACGGCGGCCTCTTTACAGAGGCGCTGCGAAATATTGTAAAAGCTGCATAACTAATTGAACCCAGACATTTGGCCCAACTAAACAAAAACGTGAGAGAAAACGCTGCGTCTTCTCGATCGCGCCATATGATGGCATTAGACACGTCGAGGTGCGTAGAACCTTCGCGACAGATTTGGCATGTTCTAGAAGATCTTGCGGAAAGTATATAGGCAAGCGTTGCCTCATAATTTGAGTCTGATGAAGTTAAACTCACCGCTTCATATATACATAAAAAGTGACATAAACTAGTAATTTAGTTTATATTATAATTTAGTTAGTGTTATATTACTTCTTGTTTGTTGTCTTTGGTAAATTTGAATTGACGGAATTTTGGATTTCAATAAAAGATGAATATCTCCTTCTAAGTGATTAGGCTCAGTGGATTCTAATTCCATTTTCGACGTCATATTTGTACGAAGCTGGGCTTTCGGCGGTCGCTGTGATAAAAAGCAAGTATGCAGCAAAAATCAACGTAGAAAAGCAAATGAGGGTGGCCGTGTCCAGTTTAATTCCACAATTTGAGAAATTTGCTGTGATTTGCAGGCTCATCCATCACATTAATTATTAAATATTAATTTAATGGTAATACAGTTTAAAAAAATAATGAAGATACACGAGTTTTATTTATTTTTATCTCTTACTTACGAATCGTCATGGAAAAATTCTAATTGAAAAATGGCGCCGCGACTAGGAAAAGTTTGGGAACCACTGGTGTAAATAATATTAGCTAAGTGCAGTTAAGGAGATTGTGGCATAAAATATGCATTTTTCAATAATATTACTGCCTAACACATAATTAATTTATGCAAATTGATACGGAAAATTAATGTTTACATCCAGTTATTGATAATCGTGGTTGATTAAGAAGTCTTGGGCCTGAGGCAGGCATAGTAACTAAATGATTGCCAAGTCAGTAAATTTGGTAAATACTTGCGTTATTGATTTCTCTTTTACTTATTTGCCCATTTAAAACCATTTAGCCCTCAAATTAAAGTAGAAAATAGCCATTTTTAACCTTAAGAATTCATGCTTGATTTTGAAGTTTGAATTATGTTGTTTTACATATGCTTATAATTGCTTGGCTAGTTTCTAAGTTATACCACTTTTCAGTGAAAAATGAATATAATGACTTAAAAATATTAATCTTTTTACCTCTCCAGCATGCCTGCAGACCGTTTAGCACGCATTTCCTCTTTGTCTGACCCGAATTCAATTTCGTTGTCTGCCCCGAATTCCATTTCGTTGTCTGCCCATGATACAGCATCAGACAATTCTTCCTCAGAGCTTTTTGTGTATCCAATGCGATTCTGATGTCAAAATTTTAAATATATGCTATTTGGGAAAGTAAGAATTATTCAAACCATTTTCCATCGTTATGATGCCTGCCAACACGTCTATTAATATGCTGTCTGAGGGGTCATTAAAGTGTCAACCCTATGAAACCCAGAAAAGATTAAAGCTTATAATACATGTAGATAAGCACTCTTAAGCGAAATTATAGAGCGAAATATAGAATAGGGTTAGGGTCAAATATTTTGTCATTCATGCTGATCCTTAACTTGGCAAATTTGTCATTTACTTGGTAACAAACACGTGGTACTAGCCCAGCAAAAAATAAGCATCTTACGAAATTATATGTTGTTTGACCTTGTTTTCGCAACATGGTCATATTGGTAGGAACACTTAGAGGAATGCATCTAGTCCGGAGTTCATTGTCTGCATGATCATTTCCAAAGTTGAACAGTGGACGTGGTACATTCCCAAACGTTTCCCCACCATCGTAGTCGGCATCGTCAGTTAGTTTCGTCATTCTTAGCACCACACAACAACTCGTCAAAGAGACAAGTGAAGCCGATCTTTTGACCAAACTTGTGCTAAACAATTGTGGTATCTCCCCTTTAGCCCAGGGCAGAAGAGGAGCTACCACAACTGTTTAGCACACGTTCGGTCAAAAGTTCGGCTTCACTTGTCTCTTGGACGAGTTGTTGTGCGGTGCTAAGAATGGCGAAACTCACTGACGATGCTGGCGAAACGTCTGGGAATGTACCACGTCCACGGTCCTTCTGTGGAAATGATGATGCATACAATGGACTCCCGAATAGGTGTGTTCCGTCAAGTCTTTCTACCAACATGACCAAGTTGCGAAAAAAAGGTCAAACAACTTCTGTACAACGAAAGGAGACTGCGACCACACAAAAGGCCACACCATCTTGGTCTTCGTACCTTACGAAATTAGGTCGAAGCAGAATGCAGATCTGTGCTATAAGTTTACTTGCCATTTAACTTTAGATTTTCATCAAACATAACTCACATGAAATTAGGTGCTTACTGAAGCGAAATTCAATTTATATCCGATTATTAAAATAGTCAAGCTGCTTATTTGAATATAATTTTTACCTACGTTTGGTAGCGAAAATTTCTTGCCGCTCAATTGTGCTTTTGCGATAATATGGCCGAATAATTAATGGTGCTAAGTTTAATGGTATACACAGTTAAACTTAAACACAGTTAAACTTCGAAGGCATTACCTTAAAAAAAATAACGCTATTTGTACTACTCATTGTACTATGCCTTATTCTCAAGTTATTCGACGTCGGGTGGCCAAGATGTAATAACTCAATAAACTATATAGCCGTTAATCTATGGTATAAGGACCAAGATGGTGTGGTCTTTTGTGTCGTTACAATCTTCTTTCATTGTATACAGGTTGCTTGAACATGTTTTCGTAACTTGGTCATGTTGATAAGAAGACTTAGAGGAACGAACCTAGTCCGGAGTCCATTGTATGCACAATACTTTCCAAAGTCGGACCCTAGACGTGGTACATTCCCAGACGTTTCGCCGGCATCGTCAGTGAGTCTTGCCATTCTTAGAACCACACAACAACTCGTCAAAGAGACAAATGAAGCCGATCCTTTGACCAATTGCCTGCTGAGCAATCTTGGTATCTCTTTTATGCTCTGGACTATTCACATTTCATATATATCCTCGTACCACCCCTTCAGTTTCACCATTTCTTATTTAAATGTGGTATGGTGTGACCTTTTTTTAGCAGATTTTATGAGAACTCTCCAGACCACACAGTCACTTTCTCACTTCCTCACCACGCAATCCTCTTCCCACAGGTCTTATCAGAGTCTCCCTCTTGCCCCTTACGATCTGCCTCCTAACTTCCTGGTTCAGGTATTTCACTCGACCCCTGCCACCCTTCCAGTACTCCTCAAAGAGTCATTTCCCATACTGTCTCAACCCTTTAATGGCACCACTGAGTAGGCCCGAAAAAATGAGGATTCTCAAGCTGGATGGGCGACTAACTTGATGCTTAAGATCCCGAGTTATTTTCATCGTCAACCCCTTGCCTCATGGACCACATCTATCTTGAAACCTGTCTACTGTCAGCCAACTAGCTATAGTCTCCGCTACATCTGCTTCTATCCATAGTGCCAAGTCAATGACTTCCTATGCCCTAGTCTCTTGTCTGTCAACCCACAAATGTTGTGCTTATACATTGAACCCAATCAAAACAAGTAGAAGCACAATATTTGTGGATTGAAAAATAAGAGACTAGGCATAGGGCATCATGTGTGTTATGGACTCCAGAGTAGCTGCGTTCCTCTGGCTCTTCCTACCAATATGACCAAGTTTCGAAGACAGGATCAAGCAACTTTCATATAGCCGTCAGTTTCGAGAACAAATCCCATCTTAATATAGCACTTCAGCAAATTTATAAAATGTTGGTTAAGCTTTTTGGCAAACTTTTTATAATGAATCCTTGATCTTTTACCAAGTGTACAGAA